TTCAATGCATTTTGAAGCTATCTTTGTGGTTTTGTGATGGCAGGCATGGTGATTCTTATGTGAGCTTACCCATATGTGATCATATAACAGCTACCTTTATACATCTTGGCCTCATCCAGGAAAGGTTAGTCAAGATACTGGGGGGGGGGAGCTTAAATTAGGCATTCCTGAAACCATTTCAGTCGCTCAGTCGCTTCCACAGGACTTGATCATAGTTAATTCTAGTTAGTTTGGGGTAAAAGCTATGCAGTGTAATATACCTCTATGATAATATCATTAAGTGTTTTGAATTGTGGGTACTGAAGCATGATGTACCACATTCATAATCTGCAGGTTTTTAAAGAATTGAATCACTATAAACTTTGTTCAAGTATTTGTTTGAATTTACAATGGCTGGTAAGTAAGTAGAAGGATGAGTCCTTGCAAGTCGGTTCACCATCTCTCAGTCTCCAATTGCTTCTGAGTTCATCAGGAAAATCTAAAGGTACATTCTGGTCATATGCATAGAAAATTCTATTCAGTTGTCCTCTGTCACATGACTGTCACAGTTCAGTGTGTGGAGGATAAAGAAGCCAGGACCAGCATGGAAGATGCTGGCCAGTTAATTCTGTAGCACTCGTAGTCAAATACATCAACAAGTTTATAGAATTACCCAGAGCTCTGGTAATCCAAAATCAAAGACAAAATAACCATTCAGAAGCCACTGGCACATCTCGCAGGCTTTTAGCTCAAATGCAGAGTCTTTCAGCAATCAAGTTATTAGTGACCTTGCTTCTTGCCAAGATCTTGTGAATTTTTCTTATGATTATTAAATAATAAAGAAAAATGGAAAAATCAAACTTTTAGTGAAAAGACAATTGCAGAGACTACCCATTCATTGGCGCTTGACACCTTTGATTCATGATTCAGTGTGATTCATCCTGTCATCTGCTTAAAAATTCATGGCAAATTCTGCATTAATGTCATCCAGAAATAGAAGAAGAAAAGAACGATTTAAGCAATAGAGCGAACTGAAGCTGTGTTGTTACTCCTGAAGACATAGCAAATGCAAAGTGTGATTTACAATTAGATATTTTGTATGCTCATGATACCTGCATAGTGTTTGATCTTAAATAATAGCTTTATATATGAGCGGTCAAATATGAATGTAGCTTGGCATTCGTGAGCTCTTAGTCAGTCTCCCGTCTCCTGCTGTTCAAATAGACTTCCCACAAGCTGTGCCTTTCTGTATGTAATGTAATTGAATCTTGAAACTTACAAACATTTTAATAAGAGATGGAATGTAAGCATAGGTCTTTGTTTAATTTTTTTTCCTTCCTTTCATTTGGATCTTGGATATAATCCAGTCTTCAGACTGGGGAGCCTTCCTAAGTGTTAGAGCTAAGGCAAACAATGTGAGAAATCACTGATATTTCTTCCTAAATATATTATTATGCCTTTTAGAAAATTCGTCTTGTGTGTTCCATCTTCTATTGTTTTAGCTGACTTTCCATCTACAGAAAAGTTGAGCAACCCATGCTTTCTATGCCATCCTAGCAAAAACCCCAAATAGGCACATGAGAGTGTTGAATAATAATTGTACCTCCCCACACTGCCACCACACAAAGAGTATAAGAAGACTTATCCTTGCATGCCCTATTTTCTGAGAAAACTGGCTTTGTAGGAGCCCACTTTCTCTGGGAAACAGGTACATGAGGCCAGCTCTCCTGATACATTCTCTTTCCATGCGGAACCAGGAGTGCTGGAAAAGAGAGGGAGAGAGGATGTATTTATTTTATTATTATTATTTTCATTTATTTATTAAACTTCTACCCTGCACATCTAGTGGGAGGCCACTGCTCTTGTCAGTTTACATTGGGGGGGGGGGAAGAACACCTGCCTCTATAACCCCCTTGTGTCACAAACGTACAAGACCATACCCTGAGATAGCAACAGCTATTTTAAACAAAAATCAAACTATCAAATAATTAAATAGGTAGAAGGTTGTCAAAGCTTTGACTAAAAAGTTGTGTTTTAATTTGTTGTCTTAATGCTAGGTGGAATTGTGGTAATGAATTCCATAATGAGGTGGCCACTACTGAGAAGGCCCAGTTCCTAGTGTAGGCTTCCCGGCCTCCCTTGACCCAGAGCATCAAAGATTGGGAGATGCGGGTAGAATGGGTGGTAGACCTGAGGGAGAGGCATGCTGCCAGGTAGCATTCAGGGCTTCATATGTCCCATGTGCCTTCATTTCTGGTGCAATCACTGAGTGCAGAGTGAAGGTAAAACATGTTTTTCCTCCCAGTGATTGTGTTTTTGCCAAAATTGGAACAAGATCGATGGGATAATATTGCAGCTAAACCTCTCCTCTCAGCAATTTGCAGTGACATCTTGTCCAATAATAAGAGGTGCTCCTATCTTCCAATTCTGCTTGATATCACTGCAAGGAGAATGAAGTGAAAATAGTAATTTTGTTTCATCAAGTCAATTTTTTAAAGTATAAATACATATACTGTACATACCATTCTCTTCTCCTGGGGGCACTATGAGATTGGGCAGTTTACCCAAGGCTACACAAGCTGGCTGTTCTCTTAGGAGGCACAGTGGGGAATCAAACATCCAGCCTATGGATCTGCAGCCAGATGTGTAACTCGCTGAATTATCCCTTCAGCCAATGAAGGGAAAACCATCTTATCTCTGTAATGTGCAGAAGTAGCAGATGTGTTCACTTGTTTCTGTGCTCACTTAAGTGGGTTACAGTTCCTAGTGGTTTCCCGTAGTGATCCTTATTATGTCCCTAATTATAAGTGGGAGACTGGATCTTAGGTCTTCCCACCCTCAGTCCAACACTCTTCACAGGACATCACAGCTTAGGTTCATCTCTAGTCATGAGAAGATGTTTCTGGGGAGTGGGGAAGAGGATTTCCAAGAGCAAAGTATTCAAGCTTATCTACCTATGGCCTTGAATAACCTGATCATATTGCCTGCATTGAGCTACTGTACAAAGTTTATTCCGATAGCGATTTTGGATTTCTTCAGTAGCCTGGCACATCTGGGCAGGATTCTTTATTTAGACATACAGCAAGGCAAGGAGGGGGAGGAGTCTGCATAGAGAAACAAGACTCCTAACCTGGAGTTGTTATACAGTTGTGCCCATTCAAGTAGGTTATATAAGGATGAGATTGTGGCTTTCACCAGCTTTAAAATAAGAGTGCGAATGCATTTGGAAGGACAGTCATTAACTAGATGTGAGCCCTTCTTTTGAGGATTTATTTGATTTGACATGTTGACAGACTTATCTTTTCCTTTTTACAAAGTCTGTACAGTAACAACTTTCCTTCCATATACTGTATATCCTAATATAAGTATTCCATCTTCTTTGTGGTGTATTTTACCATAACATCACAAGAGGTTGGATCCATGTTTAAGTTAGCATAACTGAACTTCTGTTGAAATCAGCAGAATGGATTTCAATGAACAAAATGCAACTAAATTTGTCTGGATCCAATCTAATAACACTCAAGTTTGAACTCAAGACAAAATTACAGCAATTTTAGTATGTGTATTTTGAATGTCTCAAGACTGAGAAACTGCAGTAGTGAATACCATCCTTATTTTGTGGAGAATAGCAAGAACCCATGTTGAATCAAAGTGAGGCAGGATTTATTCATATTATAATCCAGCAGCCCAAATTGTGATACTGTTGTTTCCATATTTCTCTATGGAATTTCACTGTTCAGTTCTTTCCCAATTAGATTAGATGTGAATAAAGGTACATGTCAAGGAAGCATGCCTGTATGGCCAGAAAAACACTGCACAGGAAATATCATTAAAAGGGTATTAAGAAAATATGCATAGTGTAGTCTCCCTTTGTCCATGGACAGCCTTGTCCCAGGAGAGAGATTTGCTGCATTCTGCCTGGATCATTGCTGTGCAATTTGATATCCAATAGAGTAACTATAGAATTAGAAATAAAATAGATATTTAACTTCAACATAATTTACATCCAAATTAACATATTTGCACTGGTTGGCTCAAAAGTTTTAAAATCTCAGCAAAAGGAGGTTAGGTATCAGTAAGGCTTGTTCACATTTTTCAAAGATACTCTTGTTCTGGGGAAGAGTTTCCTTCAGAAACATTGCACGCTCTGGAAACAGTTAGACAGCCAAGGAAAATGAGTCCTGCGAAGCCTCCTTATTACAAAAAGATGGACATTCCATAACTCTCCCAGCCTGGGAACTGCTGGCAGTAAGATCTTGGGCCTCTGCAACATACTAGAGTCTAGAACAGGTGTGAGCAAGTTAAAAGGGATAAGGGGCCAGATTTCTACCCCATGATCTATTATGGCCTGCAGCATACCCCAAAAGGCAAGAAAAAATGGTGAGGGATCATAGGTAGCACTTTGCACACCTCTAATCTGGACCATCTTTTCCCATTGTGGTGCCTTCCAGACTTTTGGATTGCAGCTACCACTTGAGCTTCCCAGCATTGCCAGTGCTGAGGGCTCCAAGGAATTTACATCTAGAGAGCATCTATCTGGAAAAGCTGCTCCAGATTCAGGAGGGAGGCAGGGACAGTGGTGGTTGATGCAGAGTCAGGCACTCAATAGCCAACCTCAAGCTACACTGGAGCACTGGATTGGCAGTGTCCTTGCACAGACCCTCAATGGCAATGGCAGTGTGCCTTTCGTAGACCTCCCCCAGTCTCAACAGGCCATGTCTTCTGAAATTTAAGTGAAGTCTTCCACACTTGGAGGAAGCCACACAAAACGTTAGGGGCTTACATTCAGCATCTGTTGTCCGGTCCTGTCATGCTACTGTCTGACCTGATAGTGGTTTGCAGCAATTAGAGGAGCCATGGTGAGCAAGAGGGCTGAGGAAACAAATGGCATGGGCTGGTCCTATGAAAGAGCAAGTAAGGATGGTGTAACTCTTTCCAGTCAAATTAAAGCTGTCTTTGGGAACAGTTTTTGTATCTGTTTTTTTTCAGTAGTTTCTTTCTTTCTTTTTCCACTCTGACAGGTACGGATGACGTTGTAGCAATAATGATCCCTGAGCCAAAGGGGAAAGAGATAGTGAGCCTGCTAGAGCGGAATATTACTGTGATGATGCACATAACAATTGGGACACGAAACCTGCAGAAGTATGTCAGCCGGACCTCTGTAGTCTTCGTTTCCATCTCCTTCATTGTGCTGATGATCATCTCCTTGGCCTGGCTTGTCTTCTACTATATCCAGAGGTTCAGATATGCAAATGCCAGAGACAGAAATCAGGTGAGTAGTTTTCCTGAGGCACACTGATTCCACCACCACCTGGCTTCCAGCACTAAACAGCAGAGCTTATAAATGTTTGGACTACCACTCCCAGCGTGCTCCTGCCAGCCAGCGTGCCGGCATGGGCAGTGCTTTGTACTGGCTGGACGATGTTGAGAACACAACATTCCCAAGCTCTGTGAAAAGGTTTATGTGATAGTTGTTTAATTTTTTCAGACCCACTGTAGTTGATTGAGGTTTAAATAAAACTGTGTGGTTGTCTTCATTAATAAGAAGCAAATATTTGACATTTAGCGAATGGAAAGGAGTTGACTAGCATACAAAAAAAAGAAGTTAGCTTGTATTTTTCTAACAAACAAATAAGACAGTTGATGCAATGAATGCAGTAGATTTTAAACATAAAAACTGTTGTTTAAAAAGTTTTATAATATAAATGCAAAATTTTATTCACATTAAGGCCCTGGGCTCTAGACCTCTAATTACTAACAAGTGTGTTATATGGATAACTTAAGGCAAAAAAAGACTCAAGCACTTAACAGCAAGCAATCCTGTTACTATCCCATTTTCAGCAGCATCTTCATCAGGTGTTCTAGACCTGATGAGCTTCTAGAACTGAACTGTCTGAGCTCTGGATTGCAGCATTTTCAAATACTGTACATTACCACCTCTTACATACACTGCTCCCTGGCTTATGTCTTTTCCAAAAATGTAATATAAACTAGTTTATATTACAAAACCAAAACACCCACGTTTTGGAACATAGAGCTGATAAAATATCAAGGCAGAAGTACCTCATTCTGTATGTGCCAGTTTTTGCATGAAAAAGTAAACAACTGAGTGTTTACATTATGTAACACAGCGACAAATACAGAAAAAATGTAGTGCATTTTTTGGGTGTGTTGTGTTTTACCTATAATGTGAATTAGCAAAGAGATATCATAAAATAGATGTGGAAATCTGGGTTAAATAAATAAAAATAACAATATAGTGCACAATAGAATCTTTTACATAATAGTGTAAAAAAGGAGAAAAGGATGAATGTTATTTTAAGCAGTTTGTTTAATGACAAGTAAATAGAGAAGAGAAATGAATGTGCCATTTATTTTATAGGGCTTTGGCTTCATAGTTAATAGTAATATTGTTTGTAAAAAGAGTATAAAATAGTATATATTCTGTAGTATTAATGGAAATAACATGCAACGTATTGTATTGTCAGTAAATGACATCATTTTAACAAGCACAAGCTCCAGGAAGTGGGAATTTAACTCTGACCTTGAAGCAGCAAATCTAGGAGCTTGAAGAAGCTAGACTTCTGTGGGTCTGAGATGGGCAGATCCTGCGTCCTTCAGCATCTGAGCTTCTCATTGGCTAAGAATGTTTACACTCTTGAGGAAGTTCATTTTGATTTCTGATGTGGTACTAGGTTATAAATAGGAAGCTTTTACACACTGCTTTATAATGGAGATACATTTTGTCCAAAGGGAGCGGAAAGGACATAAATTTTGTTTTCATCGAGTGGACACAGCTTATCCAAAGAAGATGGATGTAGCAGTGCAGTAGCAAGATGCTAGAGTTTCCTCCTTAGGCTTTGGCTGGAGAGGCTGGGTGAGCTTTTCCCTTTTTAGAGAAAATGTTTTTCTCTGTGTTAACATCATGCTTAGAGCGAAATAATGCTTTTTACTCTATATACAATATTTTACTTCTAAAAGTTTAAATACTTTTTCATGCCTTTCACTGAAAGTTGTAAGACTTTTGATTTTTATAATTTTATTCTTAAGAACCTTGAAGTGTTATGGAGATATAGTCTCTGCCTTATTAGGCTATAAGCCATTATTGTTCCTTTTCTCTCTCTAAAGAGTATATACTCTTGATAGAAATGCTTCTGTATTTCAGCACTCCTGCTCCTGTCTTTTGTATTCACGTACATCTTAAGTTCACTTCTCCTATTTTTAAGTATTTGTACCTACAGCTTTGTTTATAGCTGTAAGGATTTTTGCAAGATAAAGCAACATGCCGGTGGCTTCTGAACAGTCACATGTTAATATTTTTTGATTTTATGTTTTTCCTACGGAACCTAGAAATGAGGTAAATACACAGATCTTGTACATAATTAACAACTTTTGGAATTGACTGGAATTATTGCAGCAATGAAGACGCTTATAAAGAAGTGCCCAGATGAGTTTGCCCAAGTTTATCTAGTGGTTTTCTGGTTTTGTTCTGGGATTAACCCTTTACTTGGACAATGTCAGTTATTACAAATCATAGAATCAGTTTTTTGCCTGGGAGGTCTATAAATCTTTGTGGGAATCCTGGGGGGGGGATGTTCAGTTATCCTTATCAGGTGCAGCTTTACTAAATTCATGAGGGAAGAGAGCAGGAGAACTCCACAATTCTTCATCAACTTTCTTATGAGGAGAGTCACAATGTGAAAGGGAGAGCACCTTCTATGTGTGCAGCTTCTCCGTGTGATCAGAAACCAACAATGTAGCGTCAGTTTGGAAGTACAGGTGCTTATCACAACAGTCCTCATAGCAAGCCAGCCAGCCACCCCAATAAAGAGAGTCTGAAAATACAGTCAGCTAGTTCAGTCCTGAGCTGGATGAATAGCTCAGTGGTTTAGGTATCTGGCTGTGGAACGAGAGGTTGGGACTTTTGGTCTCCTAATGTGACAACGTTTGTGGCCTTGGGAAAGCTACACAGTCCAAAGATGCTCCCAGAAAAAGCAAATGGTAAACCACTTCTAAGTATTCTGTACCTAGAAAACCCTGAAATGGGTAGCTATTGATGGCACATGATGTTATTAGATCAGTCCACCATGAAATACAGAACAGAGCTTTTATTAAGTTAATTGCACATTCAAGACCAAACCACTCTCAGATACTTTGCATTACAGCAGGGATAGCTTGCAATGATATACTATTGTTGGGAAAATCTATTTCTCTGCTTGCAATTGTAAGGATTGCAGCTAAGCTGAGAAAACACAGAGAAACTTCATAGATGTGGTAGGTGATGTCATAGTCCTTGTTGCCCTAAAAATCCTGAATTTGTGATCTCACAAACCCTGGCTTCACTATACCTCCACCAGAATTATTGATTCTTAGGGATTCCAGACCATGTGCAGGGTCTCCAAATGCACGAGACTTTTTTTTTTAATCAGATCTTATCCATCACAGGAAAGTGATGGTGGAAAGGGCACAACTGCCCTTCTCCTTTTCTTCATGTGTTCGAGTTAATCCTATCTTAGACACTTGAATAAAGCTTCTGTGCCCACCAGAATGTTATACAAATATCCCTTGCCATTGCAAATATATCGAACACACATAGAGAAAAGTGGGTTCATGCCTATCTGTTCAAACTCCAGCATTGATGCACTGCCAGCTTTACACCTAATCCCTATGCAGTTCCTAGAACATTGAATGAAGTGTATGTCCGTACATAGAGCTTGGAAAAAATACCTACATTACTTTGAATTCTATACCGGCCTTATTGTGTGGGATATTGTGGGAGTTCTATTCCAAAAATATAACTTTTCCAAGCTCAGCAGGTAGCTATCTGCCTTTAGGTCTCCACTTAGTTAGGGATTCACCCTGTATAGCATATGCAGCAATTTCCATTTTATTTTTTTTGTTAAGAAGTTCTTGAAAGTCTGTGAACAATTATATTCTTTCTCAGTATTATAGATTGGATATGAGAAGAAATCACAGCCTCAGTTGAACTCTCTGGATATTCATGGACTGAAAAATACATTATCTCTAACCTCAAACAAATAGAAATAACATAAAGGTCAGCGTAGCATTTAAATATTTCAGGGCCACATATAAAATATATTCAAATCAAATAGTAAGGGGATGAATCTAATTGTTAATCCCAAATATAATGGAGTCACTGAATGAATGTGACTTGTTAAGTGAATACTTAGATGAGTTCTGTTGATTCACTGGATCTATTTTAGTTGGGACTAACCGTTGGGTTCAGCTGAAATTATCTTGAGGCTTTTCAGAAGCTCAGACATTTAAAACAGTGAATAGAAGATCTAATAGCTAAACCACTCCAACCTCATGACGTTCTTTAGGGGCTTTGATTGTTAATTAAGAGGGGAAACCTGACACACCAGACTTTGAACCAGATTGAGACTGCTTAATTCAAAAGGTACTTTTTAAGATCAGGATAGGGCACAGAACTTTCTAGTTTGTTTTTGAGGCAGCCTCCTGCCAAAAATGCTCTCAGTCAAGCATAGTTCTTCTCATCAGATGTGAAAAATATTTATAACATGAAGCCTGAGGCAAACATTCTTCTTTTCATTGTGGACGTGTTGTGAGCTGGAGACGGATAGGCTCCGCCACACATACTTAAAGGTAAGCTTGTAAATAGAGCTGAGAGCTCATGTGGTATATGAGTTAGAAAATGTTGGGCTGGGACTTGGAAGTTCCCAGGTTCTACTTCCCACTGAGCCATAAAACTGACTGACAACCTTGGGCAGGCATTCCTCTTCATCTTGACGAATGTCACAGATCTGTTGCTGGGATAAATTGGGGAAATGGGAATCCTGAGGAAGGGCAGGTTATAAATTAAATCCATACCTTGAGTACAATTCCTCTTTTCTATCTAGAAATTCACACCATATCTGAATATTTAAATGTACAGTGGTGCCTCGCTTGACGACGTTAATCCGTTCCAGCAAAATCGCTGTAGAGCGAAAACGTCGTAAAGCGAAATAAAAAAGCCCATTGAAATGCATTGAAACCCATTCAATGCGTTCCAATGGGCTGAAAGCTCACCGTCCAGCGAAGATAGGGGCGGCCATTTTCCATGCCTGTGCAGCGAGGAATTCGTCCCTAAGCACAGCGGGGGGGGCATTTTCTTCAGCTGGTGGCCATTTTGAAACCCGACAATCAGCTGTTTTTGATCGTCATAAAGCGAAAATTGGTTCTGGAAGCAGGGAACCGATCATCGCAAAGCCCGCCAAGCGGATTGTTTTACGATTGCAAAAGTGATTGCAA